CACATGTCTTCATAACCCAGAAAAACATTGGTATATTCAATGTCATGAGAAACTAAATTCTCACATTTATATTATCATATGTGTATAAATAAATACAGTTGCCATATAGCATTTGTGCTTAAGAATTTCAGTAATAATTGAAAGGACATACTTTTCACTTTCAAACCAATTGTATGTAGTATAATATTATAGAATTCAGGTGGTGGGCTTTAGTGTTGTCAATCTTGGACCTGCAGGTTCTGCTACCAGGGAGTTACTTATAATATTATAGAATATGTCTCTATGTTGTTCATCCAGGAAGCTGCAGGCAGCATAGAATATTCAAAAGTCAAGTTCCAATATCCAACAAGACCTGAAGTGTCAGTCTTGCGAGGACTGGACCTCCTGATACATCCAGGACAGATGGTTGCTCTTGTGGGACCAAGTGGATGTGGCAAGTCAACTTGCATTCAGTTGCTACAGAGATTTTATGAACCATCCCGTGGAACTGTGGTGTGTAATCAGCTATTTCTAAAGAGCATTTGAGTTTGATTGTGAAGTATAGGAAACATCTAAGAGTGTATTCATGATAATTTGGGTCTGTGATGTCTATAGTTATTGTAAGATGTTATCCCCCATAAGACAACACATTGCATACTGCTGAATTGTTTTCAAGTTTGTTATTGGGTGAATTATATTGTTGCGGGAAAGCTAATACATTTAAGTATGAGGGAAGAGTATGGATTCAGGGTATCTCAGAAAAAAGTTGAGTAACCTATTTGGGCCTTGGAGTGATGAAGTAACAAAACAGACAAAATTACAAAATATTGAGCTTTATAATTTACTCTCTTTGTACAGATTAGGTTCATTAAATCAGAAAGGAGATGATGGGTGGTTATGTGGTATGCACGGGGATTATGCAAAATGTATATCAGATTTCTTTATAAGAATCTTTAAAGTAAGAACCTGTATGAAAGATGCATGGAATATAATACATTCCTCAAAAACTTTGGTAACCACCAACAAGAACATAATGGATTCTACCAGCTGATGTAAGGAGATGCCGTGTCACAGAACTGGTAAATTCTTTTAGCAATGATGAGATAAATCATTGCCTTTTAACATATTTTATTGGTTTCAATCAATATCCTGTATCTAAAATTGTTTGAAGATGTGATTCATGTACATTTTTAGAATATTCATGAGAAGAATATAGGCTCAGTACCACCCGATCTTCTGCGGGCAGAAATGGGTATTGTGTCACAGGAACCAGTTCTCTTTGATCGCACAGTTGCTGAGAATATTTCTTATGGAGACAACAGCCGTGAGGTTCCAATGGAAGAGATCATTGAGGCTGCTAAGAAAGCCAACATTCATAGCTTTATTTCTTCCCTTCCCTTGGTAAGACATGTTACTCAGTGATGTTTCAGAATAGGATTAAACAAAAACATAAATTTAATGTTAATAATGGCAAGTGAGATGTAACTGCTGAATATTATAATTTAATTAACATCATAAAGTTTATCATAATTTATATTAAATTCTTTGTACTTCCAATTCTTTATGATTATCCTTCAGATAGTTATGAGATTTCTTTCTTTTAAGGGATATGAAACAAGATTGGGCTCAAAGGGCACACAGTTGTCTGGAGGCCAGAAACAGAGGATTGCCATTGCAAGGGCACTGGTGAGGAACCCCAGAGTGTTGCTGCTGGATGAGGCAACATCTGCACTAGACACTCACAGTGAAAAGGTAAAAAGAGGATTTCAGGAACTCAGAAAATATCCACATTGGCTTTGCCACGGACTAGGTCCCTGATGTACTTCACCCTGACTAGCCTTCTCCTATTTGGATATTTTCCTCCTCCTGCAATGTAGACCTAAAGTTGGACTTGAGGAGACAAATAGACAAACAATAATATGATGATGTCAAGGGCATTATGCTGGAAAGGCATATCAACAAAATTACTGGCTCAATTTTGAAGACTGAAGGTGGAGATTCAGTATTTTGCCTCTATTACAATGTAAAATTAGATTTTCTTTAGAAAACCTTCACCCCTCTGGTTAACATCAGCACCTCCTATAAGCATTTATGAGGTAGTTATAGAGCACAGAGGGTACATTTACCTTTTTTAGAATATTGACATCACTGGAACAACTTGGTGTGTTTAAACCTTTTGATAAATGAGACATCCCTTACATGATCAAACACTTGATGTACAATGTTAATAGGTGGTGCAGGCAGCTCTAGACCAGGCAAGAGAGGGACGCACCTGCATCACTATTGCACACCGCCTGGCAACCGTTCAGCAAGCGGATGTTATCTGTGTGTTGAATCAGGGAGTTGTAGCAGAGATGGGATCTCATTCTGAGCTGCTAGAGAAGCAGGGACTGTATTGCCAACTGTTGCGACAAGCAGCCAGCAACAGTGAACAGTAATCATCATAATTACCTGTCAAATACTATCTGAACAAACACAGTTGTTCCCTAGGAACTAAGGCTACCTTCCTTGGAAGCTGCAAAGGACTTTTTGGAGGGCATTGGGCCACTATAAAAGAACTGTGTTTCTGATAGTTTTGTGACATGTCACAAATAACTTTATGATCAGTCACTCATATGACCAAGATATTATGCCAAATATGTATACATACATATGTTGTTTCAGGATTAATTCTGAATCGGATCAGAGGGCCTAATCCATGACAGCTAAATAAGTATAAGATAACTTTCAAAATTAGTAATTATTGACTGTTATTAGACTGATAAACATGTCACACAAGTTTTTAAAAGTTTTTGTTAGTATTACTGTTTTGTTTTTGTTTGCTTTTTTATTTTGCTAAATTAGTTGGAAAATGTATGCCATTTCTGACATAGGATTAAGGTCACTTATTCTATGTTTACAGTTATGTAAAATTAATTAACCATCTCCACGATCCTCAAAACATAAGTGTGGGATATTAAATTACAGTAACAGATAATGAAACCGCATATAGCATTCTGCTGTTCTGTATTGTCATGTATCTTAAGACTAGCTTACATTTATCAGTATTAGAGTGAATAGAATTCTTAAATTTTCTTTTTATAAAATTCACATTACAACTAAATCATTCTTATACAAATATTCTGTAAAATATTGTGCCTTTCAACCAAGTTCAGCAGTTGTAAATTGTAAGAATAAAATCATACTGCTTTGAAATTGTCCATGATCAAAAATGCACATATAGGCACATAAACAAAGCTTTCATAACATAATTTTTGTTTCTTTTATAAGCTTTGTATTAAAGGAACTGTTGCTAATTACTAAAACAACATAAGCTCCAGCTTTATTTAAGTAATAAAATGTGACAATAATTAGTATATGCAGGATTCAAGTTTTTTGGGGTGGTCTGAATATAGATGATGTTCTTCTGGGTTGTTGCCTCATGCCCCATGTACTCTTTTGGCTGTATCATAATATTTCAGAAGAATATACTGCCTCCACCTCTGTCATCTTCATGCATCTGTTGTTGCCCTGCTGGCTGGTGGTGTGAAGAACACCATAGATATTTCAGTGTACTCCATAGAGTGCATCTGTCCAGTCTTGAAAAGTTTGAAGCAGCAAGTCAGTATCTGAATGCATCATTGGACCTCTAGTACCAATTTATGCAATCACCAATCAAAATATTTTTGCTGATGTCAACATTAGTACTTACAGACTGGAATTAAATATTTTAATAATTTAATTCTTAATAGACATCCCTGAAATATTAATTTTATAGAATCTTAATTTTGGTATAGTTTTCAGTTGATCATAAAAATCTAAACTCTTAAGAGATGTTCACATAATCTATGCATCTCTTAAAATCATAATTGAAAAACACTAAGCATATTAATGGATTGTAGGTGTAAATTTGCTTTTTGATCATTCTGCATCATACAAGGTTAAAGATACATTAGTAAACCTAGTCATGTTTCAATCTGCTCATTTAATTATTCATATAGAAGCACATTAAGTCTTATAATAAAATATGGTTCATAGTGTTCCAAATGTTTTATAATTGTGACTAAGAATTCTTATATATCTTTAGAATTACAGTAATTTTTTTAGCTCCAAACAAGTTGTTTTGTAATGAGGATATACATTGTCATTTTTGTGATTGAGCATGAAAAGTTTCTTTGCAGTTGACTGTGGTAATTTGTAGTCTGTTATATTAGATTTGATTTAATTTTAATTCTTTTGTGTACATTAAATCTGCTAATACATTTACATATGTGTAAAGGACTGAATAGAATGCATCCAAGTATAATTGTGATATTTTTTCTTAATTCCATTTATCCTAATTGAAACAGTACATCTAAGTGCCCAACAATCATGCTTAAGTGACTGTAGAACTGCAGAACTAAGACTACCATAACAGGATTTAGAGGTCTAAAATGGGAAGGAATAGTGATTCATAAGTACATGAACATAAGGTAAAAGAAGGTTATCCTGTTTCTAGAGGATGAGTGATGAAGATGAAAACAGTGATGATTAAGAATTTGTCATTCATATTGCACACTACTTTGAGAGTGAATGAAGTGTTCTACATATTTTATATAGTTTTTACAATTCTTCACTGTGTTTGTATAGATGATGATGAGGATGATAGAGTAGTGGAATTCAACGGCAGAATATGTACAGTATATTATAAAGGTCACATTTATTTTTCCATTGGGGTTATTTTGACCCCATACTACTACCTATGAACATATTTCATCCCACTATTTGGGGGTTGATTTCAAAATTTAACTGTGGACATATGGATCTCCCTGTCATGCGTTTATTTTATTCTCCTTGTGAAAATATTGCATCACAAACATTAAAGATGTCATGCAAACGAGCATCATGGAAACAATTTTTTAAACTTGGCAAAGTCCTTATCATTCACAGAAGTTTCACACAGCTAATGGTTCCGCCGATTTTGGACCTGCGGAAGAGCACCCATGTGGCAGTATTTCACGAGCAGCAAATGGTTATTACATCCACAAAGACGGAAAAGTGAAGCTCTGACATATATAACCTATAATCTAATGCATAGTTTCGCCATTTTGCGAAAACATCTTGCGAGACTTCTACACCTGAACATATGATGTGATCGATAGATCGATTCTCGTTTCGAAATATGTAATGTGAGTTTGGAAGAGAGTGAACTGCAATTATATGTTTAATGTTGGCGATAGGTGTAAGTAATACCGTGCATTTTAATTTCGTTGTATGAGTTTGAAGAAAGAAGATGCCCAAAAAGAAGACAGGTCAGCGTAAAAAGGCTGAGAAGCAGAAGCTACGACAAAAGGAGATTAGAACGGCCAAGGATAATTTGACCTTAGCCAAGTACCCGTGCAATGCACCTATGGTATAAAATATCTTAAATGACTCTAATATTGTTACTGTTGTTACAATTAACTAAGTAATAATAAAATGCTATTTTGTTTGTTTTCAGGAATGTGAAAAATGTCGTAGGTACGTATGTATCAGGTAGTAAATTAAGAGATTGATCGTTGCAATATGTCTTCCAGAAGTAATTTGATTATGTAGCAGAATTGGCCTTTACTGTCAGTAAGCATTGTTTTGACTCCGCGACACCTATTTATTAGTAGAATTTTTACATATTCTACAGAAGTGCTAAATAACTAACCAAGCTGTACAATATGCCCTTAGTCCTACATTTGAATGTGCGTCTCCAATGTAGCACTTCGTTGGTCTTAGAGAAAAGGTTGGGTAGTTTTAATCCTAGAAAAATGGGTGATTCTTCTTCATATTTCAACACTCTTATGTATATTGACACCATAATTTTTACTTGCTGCCTTTTTTTAACAAAAAATTACCTGAAATTTGATTATAGTAATTGTATTGTTTGGGGACCTGTTTCATTTCCACTTCATTTCATTCATTAATTCAGAAGCTATATTGTAAACTAGTTGAGACAGCTCCGTTTTGAGAGTGCTGGATATCCAGTATGAACTGAAATATAAAACTGCTCAAAGTATAACTTTGTTTTATGCTGCCTGTAAGTACAGAAGTGCTAATGTGTTTGATTTTACAGGAAGCAAAAGAATCGTGCATTCTGTTACTTTTGCCAAAGTGTCCAGCGACTTCCTCAGTGTGCACATTGTGGGAAAATTAAGTGTATGCTAAAGACTGGAGACTGTGTGATAAGGCATCCAGGTATTTTCACAACAGGCTTTGGCATGGTGGTAAGATATTGTTAAAGTCAAATTAATTGTCTTAGTTCCTGCAGACCACAAAATAGACCATGCTCACTTCCTTCCACAGCTTTTGAATTCATTATTTACAATCGTTTATTTACTACTGTATAACTTGTGAAGATGAGAAACCGCTATAAACCCATTTGCATATACATGCACACACACACACACACACATTCCCTTTTGCTCCAGGCTAATGTCAGCACAGTTGTACTTGTATAAAATGCAGATTGCTTGAAGTGGTTAATTCTGCAATCTGTGAATGATATAGTATTACTTTGTGGTTTAATGATATTTTTTAGCCTGCAAGTGGCATCTGTATATCAGAGAAAATGAGAAATCTTGATAACAGTTCTTGTTTAACTTACAATACCAATTTTGTCTGTTGAAAATAAAGTATGCTTTAATGAGACTGATCTCTGCAGGGAGCCATTTGTGACTACTGTGAAGCATGGGTGTGTCATGGTCGTCGGTGCCTCACCACACATGCTTGCACATGCCCTCTGCAGGATGCCATATGTGCTGAATGTGAGCGCCAAGTGTGGGATCATGGTGGGCGCATCTTTCGTTGTTCATTTTGTACAAGCTTCTTGTGTGAAGATGATCAGTTTGAACATCAGGCATCTTGTCAGGTCTTGGAATCTGAAACTTTTAAATGTAAGTGATGATTTATTATGATGAAATGAATGGTATGGTGTGGCCTAGTTATAATGTGAATATCAGAGTCTCTATTACAGTATGGCAATGTAATGAGAACCTTTGATAAGAGTTTAATCAGACAGATTTTGCAGTCCAGTCCATGTTATGCAGAGGTCTGTGAGGTGTGTATTTTTTTGAGCCATGCCAACTGGGTGCTATTGCCACAGCATGATGCATCCTTAGGTTGTGAGTGGAGAAGAAGGCTTCCAGATGTGGAGGATAGCTGCAAATATTTGGAATAATCAGTCATGAACAGCCAACAAAAGGTAGTGCTCAAGGTTTGGGGTTGGGTGGGTGGCATGTTATAAATTTTCAGTCAGAAAAGCATGAATACAATATTCAATAAGTTAACCTACTGCTTTACTTCTGATTTTTGTATTATATAAAAACAACAGTACTCGTATGTCCTTACAGTATTGGATTTATGTATTGTATTGGTATTCTGTCAGTATTGGAAGCTGAAAGGATTGCACATTGTAAACTGTAGGAAACATTGATGTCTGTATAACTGTCAAATTTCAGATGTATTTGTGAATTATAATGATAAATGTTAACATTTCAGGTCAGTCATGTAACAAATTAGGACAGTATTCTTGTCTACGCTGCAAGACTTGTTACTGTGAAGATCATGTTCGCCGACGGGGTTTTAAGTATGAAAAGAACAAACCGATTCCCTGTCCGAAGTGTGGATATGAGACTTCACAAACAAAGGATCTTAGCATGTCCAGTATGTTATATAATATATGTTGAATTTCTTTCATGTTTTTCTTCAAAGTCATGTTTTGTTGCTGATCATGGTAAAGCTATGAGAATATAAATATGAATATCTGTGTAATTATTTTATGGACATAAAAATATAATTTGTAAATGTGCACCTCTGTGAAACCTATTTATAAGATTTATTTCCTGTATGTTCCTACTTATAAATTATTTACTTACTTCAGCTCGAAGCCACAAATTTGGTCGTCAGGGTCAGGCAGACTTGGATGAAGATGACGGTGATGATGATGATGGAGGAGGAGGGTTCTCTGGAGGGTACAATGGATATGCAGAAGGAACAGGAGACCTGGCAGGTAAGAATGTTTTTGACGTAAATACGTCTATATTTTAGGGTCAGTGTCATTCGGCAAAAAGTGGAACGAAAAAGTGTAACTTCATTGTTATGTTACCTTGGAAACATCATCAGTTTACTCAGCATTGTTGTTACCTAGCAAACATCATTTGTTTACTCGGCATTATTGTTACCTAGGAAACGTAATCTGTTTACTTGGCATTATTGTTACCTAGGAAACGTCATCTGTTTACTTAGTATTGTTGTTACCTATAAAACATTACCTTACCTTACATTACATTCAGCTACTACAGACCCATTTCAAGCGTAACTAATTCAAGTTAAATAAGCAATGTCTTAATCAAACTTACCTCAATTGTAAAGCATGTATAAAGGAAATATTTAGATTAATGCCAATATATAAACTTCCTTTCCGTATAGACATATTTACGTCAAATTCTCCGGAACCATGGTTCCACTATCACTTTTTTTGATATACATCAATCAAAGATATGATTTTAAGTGGATTAACCAGCAATATGATAATTCAGGGCAAATTAAGAATTGAAGATTCATGCTTATATTGTGGTTCAGTGCTAATTAGATTCAGAGTTATCTTCCATTTAGATGAATATATAGCCTACTAAGTGAAAAAAAACCCAAAAAATTGGAAATCTTTAGAAGTCAATAATATAATGCATAATTCTCCACATTTGTTTTTAATCAGATTCTGGTTCTGACGATGATGATGATGATGATGATTATGAGGAGTCTGAAGAAGAGTCGGATGAAGAAGGTGATGCGGCTGAAGAAGAAACAGCAACATAGTACAGAGTTTTGCCAGAGAACTTTCACAGTGACTTTCTGCACTTGAGTTTTGTGCTCAGCAAGTGGGCTGGCTTTTCTGTTTATGCTTTTATGTACTGCTCTCTTGCTTGTTTGGCTTATGGGGAGAATAGTGAACATAGGCTTTGGTTCACACACAGCAGCTGTGACCACTTAATACCAAGAAAAATAATAATACTTGTGAATTATGAGCATGGTTAAACCCCACATTTCACAAAACTGAAGGCTTATTTCTTGTCTGTTCAATTGGTTGTATTTCTTAAGTTAAAAATTGAACTACAGAAATTAGTTTGAAGCTCTGTGATGTCTAAATTACTCATATTTTTTTTGCTTATATTATGTTGTTTATTTTCAGAGTTTGTATATAGCAGAAGCATTGACAAGAAAAGTTCTGATGTTGCTGAAATTGAAGGATTGAGCAAAAAATAATTAAATAAATACAATTTATTATATCATATTGATGTGACTTTTTTGAACACTGTCTCCTTCCTTTCATGATCTTTCTTCTTCTTAAGATGTTTCCACTTTGTGTGGATCATCTAACAGTCGATCCTTTCTGTCTGTCTCTCTCCACTCCTTCCTTTACTCTTCTATCCTGTTTGACACCTTTCCTAATCTGTTCTTCCCATCTTGATTGCAGTCTCCCCTATTGGGTGTGTTCCACCTTGTGAGATTTGAGGTTCTCACAGCTGGCTTCTAGGTTGTTGTGTTGTGTAAACTGGTAGAAGTTTACCAACGTTTCAGCATTATTTGCTGCATCCATCATCGGGTAAATGAGTGGAATGTAAGACTTTGTGTTGGTCACTGCATCATAGTAGGAAGGAGGCTTTTTTCAATTGAAGGCTTTTGAATCTTAGAATATGGCAAAGAGTAGTCTCCCCATTGATGTAATATATAGAGAAAGCACAATTGGTATATGCACAGTGAGGTACAAAGTGGTGAATGAACAGTTTCTTTTGGTCCAGTTACTTGAGTTGGGATATAGTTTCATTTTCATAAACTTAAAGCTGCACTGGATACAATATCAGATTGCAAACTTCTTACATTTTTTGCCCTGTCACACAGCAAAACTTCTATTGTATCCCACTGTGTTGTATCTTAACCATCTATGCTGACAGTAAAAATAATACTAATTATTATTATTACTGCTACTGTAATGTTATTCTATAACACTATGGCATAGCAGCATACCTTTCACTAAAATAATATAAAACAAGAATCCAATAAAAGTGAGGGAATAACAGAAAATGAAATAAGGTTAAAGTTTTGTTTTCATTCAAGTTTATAGGTCATTTTTTTTCCCCTCAGAAAACGAAATATAGTACTTCGGAGTACCAATCCTATGATGTAGATTATGTGATGCATATAAATCTGGCTTTGCACTCCATGACATAGTACATGTACAGTAAGAAGTTTAAAATACAAATTTATTAAGAAATAGTGAAACGTCTTCAGAATTCAATAATTTTCCCCTTATAAAGAATAAACAGTCATGTTAAACTTCATTCTATTTTGAAAACGGAGTAAAACTTTTCACACAAATTTCCCGATAACCTTTAAGTTGGTCATCCCGAATAAAACGCCTTACGATAGTGTTTTGTTTCAATCTGCACTACACATGTTTCGGGATTTGTTGCATTAACGTAAAGAATAGGTAGTCATTTAGAAAATTTTTGCAATGGAATCTTCATTATCAAGTGGACAGTTATCAGGCCAACAGAAAGATGATTTAATGGATCAAGTAAAACAGCAAATTGCAGTTGCTAACGCACAAGAGCTACTTACGGTATATTGTCTGATTTAGAATTTGTGGTATTCGGTGCTCATGGGGATGGTGTCTAGACAAACCATATTCAACGTTTGTATTATCTATTAAAGTAAAAATATCTTTTCAGAAAATGACGGAAAAATGTTTCAAGAAATGTATAATTAAACCTGGCACATCGCTGGATAGTTCAGAACAGGTATTATGTTTAATGTAGATAGTACGTTTAAGGATAATGTTTACAAATCGTTTGTAACCTAAAGCCTTGAAAATTGTGGAAACCTTATTAAGCTTCCTTTCCTCAAAATCCTTAGTGATATTGTGACATTATTTGTGGGGGTTTCACTGTTATATTTACATTATTAGAGCTACAGATACTATTTCTTATGTTTTTAATTGATTTGCTATTTAATGTTGAATAGTTACTTTTAATAGTTGACTATTCAATTATATATCCTTACATTTTGTAATGAAACTCATGGTATGATGTAATGATTTTTATCATCCTGTATGTGTACTATCATGTAGGAGGTGGTACCAAGCTGCACAACACATTCAAAATTATATGTCTTGTATGTGTACTATCATGTAGGAGGTGGCACCAAGCTGCACAACACTTTCAAAATTATATGTCCAAATTGAAAAGTGAACCAACTATGTAGGATATCCTCAGCATTAGTACACTTTTTACACTTCAACATCTGGGTCTAACTATTTATCTGTTTACATAAGGTTTGCCACTGAAATGTGTGGTCCATTCATTTCTCCTCTGTGTTTAATGTTAGCTCCTTAATTTAAAAACTGTTACAGTACTTGCTGAATAGTGCAGTCCATAAAACTCATTCCATAATGTTCTCCATTCTTGTTTGTTCACCTTTGTTAGATCTATATATTTTCCTTATTCCGTTTCTCATACATGCACCCTTTGTGTTCAGAAATAAACTTCAGATCTAACCTGTTTCAAGTTTTATATGGTAATTTAAATGTTCGGTTATATAATTTTTAAAAATTACATTATTTCTGCAATCAACATATTTAATTTGTTTTCCTTGCAGAAATGTGTTGCGATGTGTATGGATCGGTATATGGATGCTTGGAATTTAGTTTCAAAAGCATACAGTAACAGGCTGCAACGAGAAAGACATCGCATGTAGAAGGATATAAGTGTTACTAGTGCTGTTTAGTGAGTCAGACATTCAGGTGATGTACTGTGACAAGCTACAGCTTAAAATACAGTTTACCATATTCTTTTGTACAAGCTGAAATTGCTGGGAAAAAGTGTAACCTTTTACAGTGATTAGTTTTACATTTCAAATTAAAAGTTGTGTATAAAATATTGTAAAATTAATTTTATTGGCAGAAAGAAATTATATTTTAATTAATCTTAAAAATACAAACATTTTCACAAAAGTAAGAACATTAATTACATAGTCAAACTGTAATTATTGGTTACAAAGTTCAGAAATATAGGCAACAACTTTTGGTACAGCACATTAAAATATATAATTGAATATCTTGATGTTAAACTATGCACACATAGTTTCAGCAAGAAAACATTATATCATCAGACATCCAATCTTACATAACATCTTCCATGTAATCTGCAACACCGGTCAGGTTTGAGAGTGTAGCATCTGCCGTCATGTCATCCAGCTGTAGAAGAAGGAAAGTGATGTTAACTTTGGTCCATTTGAAGTTTATGATGGCTTAAGTTTTGTTTGTAAATATAAATTAAATCAAAGCTTAACTGACTAGTTCGTGTAACTCAGACCTATTCTATGTGCACAGCTTACTCATCACCCTCGTGACAGAGGCACCATGGACCTCTGATATGTCACTAACTTTTCTACCAGATTACATGGCACTACAACCCAGAAGACAGCCATCCCATTCAGAATGGCTGTTTTGTGTGTGTGAAGGGGAGAGATTTCTCTCCTACTCCCCTCCCTTTAAACTAATGTCACGGTAGTAGTTGATGAAAACTTACCACCACCCATTTTCTGTCATATCAGACCAATTTTCAATTCACGGCTGTCTCTTGTTTCTCTTTTAGCAGTACATAACCGAATAATGTTGGAATGCGCCTTTAGGAAACATGATGTGGATTGGATTCATATAGCTCTGGATAAAGACCAGTGGTAAAAACTCGTAAACACAGTAATAAACCTCCTGGTTCCATGAAAGGTGAGACATTTTTAATGAGCTGAGTGACTATAAGCTTGGACGATTTGAGGTTTTCATGGCGGTGAGTCTGAAGATTGCCATCTTTTGGGTTGTTGCACCATGGACATTACCAGACTACATGGCGCATCAACCCATAAGACAGCAATCTTCTGACTATAAGCTTCTCAAGATAAACTATGAAGTTAATAGTATATAACCTCTACAGCACTGTTAAATAAACCAAGGAACATATAATGATTCATAAATTATAAATACTGAATTGCAGTTTTAAAAACCAGTGTGATACAATTTTCATATAAGATTCAAAATGTTCATATATTCATGCATGTGTGTGTTATGACTAAACCCTGCAGGATGAATACAAGTTTCTGACTGCAGGTGTTGTCAGAGCATCATGTGAAAATAAACAGGAAGATCACTATTCTTTCTAAAGAAGGTGTAGTCCCTTTATCTGACAAGAAATTGGGAAAACCAAGAAACATTCATACACAGGATAGCTTGAACCACCAAAGATTTGGACCGGATACCTCTCGAATACAAGTGCTTTACTGGACAGCTGTGTGCTAGTAAATTATATTAAATTATCCTCAAGATAACGTTGCATGGTGTGTGTATATGAACTCACCACTGAATTTGAACTTAGTATATCTTCAACCCCAGATCCTAATTCTTCTTCAATTTCGGTGTCTGTAGCTTGATTGGCAGGATCGTCCTTAGCACTAACACTCGCTGATGAGTTGAAGTCTTCATCATAATTATCTTGAGATTCTGAATAGCAGATAACAAAAACATCATTCACATTTAAACTTCATGCTAAATCAGCATTAAACAGGACGTAACAATGGCCTTAGACACATTTTTAAATAGGCATCACTAATGTTATTGCCAACTTGGGGTGGTAGAAATGCATACATCATTTGTACAATTTACTACAGAGACATTATCCTTCCTATACAAATCAAAAATGTCTACAATGACTTCATTATAAACTGGATAGATCATGCACTGAATTCATGTGGCATACATACCCAATCCTAAATCAATCATTGATTTAATTTTATGCATGTCCTTTGAGTGACTGATCCCAGGAAGGGATCCGGTGGTTTGTTTCATGGGAAGATTAACTCCAAATAAAGGTGGTAAATTACTTAAAGATGACAGTGTAGTGGTTCCAGCTCTTGTGATGCATTCCACATTTGACTTGTTGATTTGCTGAGGCTTGTTCTTCTTACTATCAGACTTGCTACTACTCTTTTGTATAGAGTCAGAATTTGGAGCAGCCTGTGGATACAAATTCAAGAATATGAATTGTCATTTATCCAGGTTTTTAAATGTCAGATATAAGAAAAAATTTACATATCCATTGCACGGAATGTACTTAAAGGTTTCTCAATACAACTGCCATATCCCTTTAGTTGGTGGAGAAGAGGTGTCCCCACAATCTGACCATCTGATATTTACACCAGGATATACACAAAGATTTCTACAGGTGAAACTATAATACTATACTAATAACTGGAATTTACCAGTCCTAATTTTGAATATTTATATATTATTTTTTGTCTCTGTTAAGATACATATATAAAATATCATTCTCAAGTACATAACGTTATATCAAAGTAAGCATTTCATTCAGACTTACTAATCCCGATATTTTTTCATTCTTGTTACAACACACAATAAGAACTAGTAAAACATGGCACCAAAGAGGACAGTGCAGTAAATTTTCTTCCAGAATCACTTTATCCATACCTGTGTCTCAGGTTTACTTTGGGTCAGTGACTGCTCTAGAGTTGGGGAGTTATGAGGTGTAGTTTCTGATGACACTGTCTTGCTTTTACTTGCATTTTTACTGCTGTGATTTGCATGTTCAGAATCTGAAACTGAGGTTGATCTCGGAGACATCTGCTCTAATACTGCAGGCAGTGGAATATCCTTCAATCTGAGGACTTTATATATGTCTGTTGATAGTTTTGATGTTTCTGCTGTGAAAGTAATAGATTTAGTTTCAGCTGACACATTACTAGAACTAGCTTTGGTTGTTGTAACTTCACTTTGTGACAAACCAACGTTTCGCTGGGCTGAGGTTCTCTCCCCAATAGCGCTGTTTGGAGTGTTACTATCCAATAAGGCACCACTATGAGCTATTTGATTACCCAATGCAGAGGATATGTTCATACCAATGTTTGGTTCAGTTCCTTCCTGAAAGAAAAAGTGCAATATGTCTTTCATTCTTCCAAATAAATACTTTCATAAATTCAAAACAAGCATTAATCAGTACATGCCAATGTAACGATTATGTGGTCCCAAAGACTGCCTTAATATTCAGCATTACAGGTGCAAGAGCATATATTTATACCATGTCACAATGTTTTGCCAAAATATTTCATTTTGTTACCTTGGTGTTATATTGCTCACATTTCAAACTACAGTCAGGAAATGACATAACTGGATATAATCAAAGGACCACTTTGGTTTACTCTGAATCTGTGGTTTCCCAACCAATTTTGAATTTTCTCATTTTATGTACAAAAAACTCAAAGTAATGTACAGTATAAGTTACCTGCTTGACACCAGAATAATCCACATTTTGGCTAAGGGCAATATGTAGTAACTGGACTAATAATGGTCCCTTTTTACCTGTAAATAAATATATTTGGAACAATGGAAAAGAATTTTTAAACATGCCAATTTATAACATTCACATTTTAGCAAAAAGTGTCATACATACCATTAAGATTCTGTATCTGTAAATCATTAATTAATTTTGATCTGCCACCATAATTATAATATTTTCCTTGAGCTGTTTCTGGGTCAAATACAGATAAAGTAAAGTCCAACTGAAAGAATTCCAGAAATTCGCGAACCAAACATGCAACAAGTGAACCTTCATCAGTGCTCAGAAACGTTCTTAGAGGTTTGTTTGTAAACTGAGGAGTATCCTGAAAAGAAAACTAAATTCACTAACTGCTCCAAAATTAATGTGCTTTACAATAGACGTCAACCTATGGTGCTCACTTACCGTAAGAGATTCCTGTTCTTCTAGTGCTAAGAACACACTTGCTCGTAATTCAGCCTGTAAACCGTACATTTAGCATCAGTAGTTTTCATAATTTTCAGAGGTTAGGGATAATGTAAACACGCAATACAAAAGCGGCATTTATATTTCAAATCTAAGGACATAATTGGTTAAGGATTATTATTGTATGTTTAATATATCGGATTTATGTTCACGATAAAACACCTTGGAAGACAACAAATACAAGTTTCAGATACTTTAAAACTTTCCCTCTTGAAAGTTCCTCTGAATGAAATACCACACTTTTAACATAACAGAAATTACAGTAAACTGTTTGATACTTCATTGCATTATTACATCTAAATACTACGTAATATCATAAAACTCTTCTTATATACCCTAATTTTTGATAATACTCCATTATTTTCTAAAGTCTGTGCCACTAAATCCCGTAATTCAGTTTCTTCCTCAGACATTTCTCTAAATGTTTATTCTACTCACAATTGTTGGTACCACTGAAAGAATTGACTACACACATCAACATCCTGTATGAGAAATTCACTGTCAGAAGGTGGTGAAGTACAAATTTTAAAGCCTATGCTGAACATTTCATTTATTGCATTTTACATGCATTACAATTATTTCATGTCAATATTAATATCATAGTTTGCATAACAGTAAAACTCGTTAGCTAAATTGTTTTTGTGGCGTGGCTCAAATTTACATTTTCTGACATTCAACAACCTCTGGGCCAACTCTTCCATTTTTGCACCTGGAAAATAAAGTATTAAAATTGTAGTAATTACCTTTCCCTTTGCCACTAATATATTTATATAATCGATAATACATTTTTGAGTTGTTGTTCATTAAAAGATTTTCATATATAAAAAGCAGAGAAATCTACCACTTCCATTTACCCTCTTCAAACTAAGTATTACAGCTATTAAAATTGATATTTGGTATCTGATAAAAATTATGAACATTAAATGCCACAGAAATACACACCTGTGCACAAAATAATTTTGTGCTTCGCAAGATGCTTTACAGTCACTGCAGTTTTAGTTAGACATTCCTCAGACAGAAATGGAGGATCTGCTACTACAACATCGAAGTTTCCAGTGAAGTGGTGAGGAATATCTAAAGGAGCATTATAATCATATAAAATGAAGTCTTCTCCATAAACAGCAAACCTCTTGTCAAATTCAAAGAGAGTCACTGAAAAAAGATGTGTTTAATTTAAGAGATGAACATCCAACCAAAAACAATTAACTAAACATAAATTCCAAACTGTTAATTACCCTGGCGATTATGTGCCTCTGGTTTCAGTTTCTTATAAAGTGTTGGACAGGATACCAACGCTATCCTTCCTGCAGGACCCGCAGCACTAAGTGCTTCTCTTGAAAGATAAGCTGCTGTTTCATCATCATACCAAAACTGGCTGAGTTGCTGAAATTAATCATTTATATATATTTATTTACTTTTTATGCATTATTTTAACCATGTGGGGTTATTTCAACTTAACAGAACACCACTTTGCTGTTAATATGAAGTTTAGTGGGTTTCCATCTTTGGGAAGTATTTTCGAATATAGAATTTGTTTCATTCTAAACCTAGGAGCCCCATGGTATGCACAGTTCTGAAAACAGTAGCAGACTATAAAAGTGAACTATATGAAAAAATTATATGATTAATAACATTTTTTATGAAAATGCTTTAAAACACAGTTTATTAAAGCTGATTGTACTGTTTGCAACTTACTACACAGTGAGTTTTACAAGACAATTTTCAGGATAGTCACAAAATACTATAAACATACCCAGTCTTCCTCAAACTCGATATTTTGCTGTGAAATTTCTTTTCCTTCAAGGATCCAACGACATTTTTCGTCCTTTTCGGCTTGCTGAGCGTAAAATTCTTGAAGGGCTACCAATGCCTCAGTTGATAATCGTGGAGAATCATCTTCACTATCAGACATGTGTCTTTTGTCAATACCGCATAAGAACCAAATGTTATCATTCACACTGTACCAACATTAGGTGACATCAGCCCGTTTGTATAGTTAAATTCTCATACAATCGACAAATGAAAATCGAGACCGTATGTAAAGAAACACCGCGTTGCAGACGATAGCTTCATAGTCAAAATTTTAAAAATGGCAGATTTTAGTTTTGTACCTTAGGATGGGTGCGGCTTAATATACTATTTTTAACTGGAATGTCCATGGTACTGCAAGGTTCTGAGATAGCCTGCTGGACCATTGGTCTGGCTTACCATGGGAACGTGTTTAAGCCACTGCTTTAACATCAAAAACACCAAGTAAGAACTGTGATACACCTATTCTCCCGTCGTTGATGCCAATTAGTAGTGTGTGCATGGTATAATGTGAATGTTTATCGTAGACGATAGAACTGAAGTATCATTATTGATGGAGTTCATTTTTTTGCAGACCGTATCGCTCACAGCGAACTATGTACTCTCAAGGAGATGATAATGTTGAGGTAATAGTTTAATTTGTTATTTTCTGAAGCCCGTTAAACTTTATTAGTGTTTACCACTCTTTGTCACAGTTGAATTTATAATAACGCAGTAAATCAAACTTAAAATAGAGTTGTCTTCCACAAAATCTGGTAGTTATATTTCCTTCCTGCTAAATCTAATGGATGTATTGCAGGATTTTAGATGGTTGATAAGAAATGCTAAATTTGGTAGAAATTGTGTTTGATTTTAGCCTTTCTTACTGAGCACTGAAAATATCTCACTTTGTATGTGGGAATATGAGGATAATGTACAAGTATAGGAATTGAGAGGTATAGGCAATTCCTTGCATTCCTATTAGATTAGAATTTACAGCTGTTGTATGTGAGCTGCCTGCCTGTTATGAAAACAATTTTGGGCAAACTAAAGACCTCAGGCTTCAATCACAAAATGTATTCGTATAGTATGATGGCTTTGTTTCTTGTGATAAAAATGCCAGATTCTGGTCTGTTTATTGGTGTCATTGATTTTAGTATCTAAAAGTACTATAACTCGTAAGATATGTACATGACGATGTTATTCTTGGTTTTGATACCATATGGACCTGTAGGTATATACAAACATTTCAGAGAAACACATGGTTGAAGATGGAGACAGTTTGTTTCTCTGAAATGTTGATATCTGCCTACAGGTTCACATGGTTTCACAACCCAGAAGAAAGACATTGTCATCTTTACCACCCTGAGAACCTCAAATCTTATATATTTTGTGAAACTATAAAAGTAAAACAGTATAATTTGTAACTAGTGTATGTCAGTGTTGAGTATGTGGAACTGTCTGTGGCACTGCCACTGAACTGCATAAGATTAATGAGAATGAGAATTCCAAGTTTGAATTCTTTATTGAATGTTTTATTAGTTTCATTTTTTGAGTGGGTGTATTCAAAACAAATACATTTATCAGTATTATTTAACATATTCCATGGTTGTATGTTGTTTATGGGTTGTAGTCCTACGTATAATTAGTGCTCTTCTGAACTATGTATCAGGAATTAAATCTCATGGAACCTGTGTGGGAAGTGCTAATCTACATAATATAATATAACGAAATACAATATGTATGCATCAGCATTGAGTTTTTATTATCAGTAAAACTTAAAGTTGTAAGTAGAAAGTAGCATATAAATAATTCCTCCTTTTCAGTGGATCACTTAATATATTCACTCCTAATGTTACAACTTTGTTTTTTCAGTTTGACTTCCTAGTGGATGACATTGTGGTAAGGTTTCACAGTTGTACCAAGGTTCTAACTTTTATTTTCATTTTTGATGGGTTGAAGTAAATGTATTCTATTGGTTGTAACCGAATCAGTATGTTTAAATGCTTTGGGCAAGTGTGAGTGCAGTATGAGGCCAGTTACTTTCTGTAAAATGAAACATTCACTTTTCCCATATTAGGTTATTTTCATAGTGGTAAAAAACTGTAATAGTGAAGTCCAGTATGGCAGATAAATATCAGAAAATAGATATTTGTTAAAGCTTCTATTTGCTGTTTTGTGAACAATATTATTTGTGATAAACACACAGGGAAATTTGGATGAAGAAATCTGAACCAAATATACACCAAAAAATTAAATGTGAAATTAGGCAAGTTAAATGTAAATGCAAGTAGCTTGACTAAGTTAACTGCTGATAGCAGTGTTTTGGGGTTACCCCAGCCAACCTTCTCCGTGCACAAGGGTTCATGACAGTGTGATACAGTGTTTGAGTATGTTTTATTTTATTTTTGTCAGAGTAGCAATCATAACTGAAGTTTTGTTCAGATAATAATTCAGAGAACAGTTTATGCAGATGCACTGGTTTGAGACTATCTCAACCAACCCAACTCAGCATAGGTTTTTGTGTTTTCCCTTTTTACATAGTATCCAACTTCCAAAACAGCAATCATATAATATCTAGATGATTGACAAAGTCCAAATGAATAATTTAATAATAAGATTTATTTGTAAATCTCATTTAAATCTTAGACAAATAGGTGTCACAAAATAAATTTTTCAGTATACTGGAACAATTAATGAAAATTCCATATCTCAAATTCTGGGACATCTGGTCATTGTAATCTACTTATTAATTAAAAATAATGTATAATGAAGTTTTTTATGTTTCAGCAATCACCGTCTGAAGGATTTAGATCATCAAGAGGGTAAGATAATTAATTTTTCATCACTCATTTTCTGAAATTTTCCTTTTATGTTGTTAATAACAATTCCATTAAGTATGACCAATAATATGTAACTTCATGTACAATGTCATGTACGACTGAGTGAGCTAAGATTGATGAACATTTTCGCGTGCTTTAAAATGAATTTTAAGTGTGTTTTCTCTTGTTTTAATGCTTTCATGGACCATAGCATATCATATTTATTTTCTTTGAGAAGGAAGAAGGTTGGTAAAAGCTTTGTCTTTACAGCGCATGTATGTGAAAGGTATCCTTAGTTTAATTGTGTATATAAAAATGTATGTGTTAGTTCTCTGTAATAAGATTTAGTTATTTGCAAATTTTTGGGAATTTCATGTCTAGGGAAGAAACTTTATGTCAGTTAAGAGAACTGTCGATGATTTTATTTCTTGTACAGATCATTTATGTATTACAGACTCCCCAAGAGGTGACACTGGACCTGACAGATGATACTTGGCCAAGAAGGGATGAAAATTCACAGACAGTGGCCATGAAACATCAGTTATCTGGGTACATGCTCATTTAGATAAAAGTGATATACTGTGTTAGGTTTAATATATTGATATATTTTAATTGGCGTTATTGCCCATGTTACAGTCCAGCAGTTGTAGATGTACCACTGCAGCCTTTGGATGCTCGCTCCTTATTGGCTGCTCGAGCTGTGTTACAAACAACCAATCAAAGAGAGAAAAGTATTGCTTCTTCCACGCCACCCAGTTCACTTGACCTTGAATGGGAACATGAAGGTTTGCTTCCATTTTTGTTTCCATCATATCAGGCTGTTTGGTGAAGTGGTAATGCCCTGGACCTATCAGGATTACAACCCAGTAGACCAACTTCACCATACTAAGTTTATCATCTTTATTTTCATGATTTACACATACATTCAAATGAGAAGTAAGTAACTCACCAGTAGGGGGTCTTTTGCAAGCACTTAATAATTATGTGGCTTTCAAGAAATTTTTTCAGTTATTATGAAACCTGAAGGTTCATCACCTTCACCAAACAATTCTGTCACAGAACTGCATGTTGTATACAAAGCAGCAGGAAAGTGCCATATCATGCTTCGATACTTGTCACATGTTAATGCTTCCAACATTTGAAAATGAATTCCTTGGTTAATATAAAGGATATTTATTACTTTCCCCTTCCTATATGGCATTATTGGTAGAAATGACTGCTTGTCACATTTAATACCAGCAATTTGAAGATACTAATAAATCGCTAAGAAAATAAGACTCGGTGTTTTGCGTTTAGGACTTACATCTACACAAATGTTATTGGCTAAGGCAGTTTGTTTAAACATGAAACTAAATGTCATAAATAGGTTGTCTTCCCATTCAACCACTACATTATGCTGGAGTAACAGAAGATGATGGCTGTGAGTCTGCAGCAACTAATGGTCAGAATGGTGTCAGTGCAGCTGGTAGCACAGCTTGGTCACGTGTCTCTACTCCTGATTCTCTAGAGTGGGATCCTGCAGAAGCACCCCTTACTGCAGCCAGTGAGAGGTCAGTCGAAGAGCTGGATGCAGAGACTGAACAGTTACTTAGCGAGATTGAACGTCTCACCTCTAGAGCTTTAAGAGAAACTGGAGACTGGAGCAGCTGATCTCCATTACTGCCCTCAGTTACTATTGGGTGGGTGCCCAGATATGAGCTTTAAAGATTTGAATAACGTGTGTTGAATTTGTAATTTTAAAGTTGTTAAGCAGATGTTGTGAGCTAATAGGCAAGTGTGATATTGCAAGGAACAGATGTCCAGCAGTTTTTCCAAATATTCATAAACAAGATTGTTTTGTTCATATTTTAATTCATGAAAAAAAGATAACTTCACCAGTACAGGTACATCCAGGTTTGTTCTTTTTTCTCCATTGCAGATATCAGTTTGACCTTTTCTATCCAAGTGCCCCATTACATGGTGTTTCACAACTGATATGCCCCTGTAAAGAAAGGAAGGTGGTGCAGCTATGCATTCCAACAAAATTGAAACAGACTTCAAAAATATAATTTTTCTACAAGTAAATAGAATGCCACTACCTGAAAGGCTGTATATATAGTTATAACAAATAATTTGCCATCATGCATTTATTTTTTGGTAAAATACCCCCTAAACATTTCTTGAACCCATAAGGTATATCCAGAACATAGTTTGGAGACCAGTTCCTTGGGTTGCTTTGTATTCAACAGGAATTTATGACTTTCTATAATCACATCCAAAGTTGGCCTACTGTGACAGATTCAGTGCGCTGGTAGCATAATTATAGTTGTATTTTCATTTTCTTAAAATTGGTTAACATGATTTTGGCACCGTGTCTTTATAACTGCTTTGACTATCTGCTTATTCCATTGAATTATACATACATCATATTTTCTGTATTGTGTTCTAACATATCAACAGGTTAGCTTAAGATGAAGTTGATCACCCATTGAACTAGAAGGTATAAGCCTTCAGGTAGCAGTACTGATATGATGTATGATAGAATTAAGTTGAATTATGTAGCATTTGTTTAATATCCAAGAACTTAATTAATTGCAGAATGTAATCTGAATTGTTGTCTCCTGGATTATGTCACCTTTTAATCTTTTGGATGGTTACCAAAGTTTTTAATTAACATATTACCTCCATCTCCTACATGACAGTGAAGGTGCTATGTTCCACCAAAATGTTGGTAACAATCTACAAGAGAACACAGCATCATATACTAGAAGACCACAATCCAAATTTGTACTGCCCAGAAAAACCTCATGTCTTATACAAAATAAGTAATTGTTGGCAATATTGTTAGTATGATGAGAAGTCAATAAACTGAATATATTTGGATCTACCATATTATATAAATAAAAAGTTGCCAATTTACTTATGGCAGTATGTTAGAAATTTATATGTAGCCACACTTGAAGTTGATATATTATGGTTGTGAATAAATAAGAGCAAGAGTAGATGTTAGTATGCATGTGGGTAAAAGTAGCATTAACATGAACGGCACTAGGTTAAATGAAGGACAATACTAATGAAATAAAATATAGACTGATTGCTTGCTAATGTACTGAAAACTCCAAATACAGTAACACTTGATTATTGTGCTATCGAAGTAGTGTTTATTGTTAATCTTGATTAGTAAAATCTTGATTACTTGACTCCTTATATTTGAAACCTCTTCACAGTCACAGTACAACTGTTTTCATCTTGGTAGGTGTTTCCCACGGGTAACAGAACTTGTATTTGAAAAAATTCCAGGTGTCAGTACATATTTGGAAGAAAATAAGTCTGGAAATGTATGTGAGACATAAATTCTGGCATGTTTTAAAAATTTTACCTTTGTGAACGATCAAGGAAACGCTGGGTGGCATTCCCTGCTAAATAACTTTTGTAAGAAAAATGTAGGTCTTCATGTAAAATGCCTGTTCTTGTTGTCCAGTTCTTAACCTAAATTGGTATGTATTGACATAGTTTTAGGAAAAATCCCCAATATAAAACTTCCTAAGTTGTGACGCATATACAGATGAATGGAGAGAGCAGTTTTAATAGGCACTCAGTGGAGTTATGAATGCACCTAAACACTGCTGTAACATAGTTACTGAGTGAAGGATCTGAACAGGAATGTATAGTTATGAGAGTACCGAATGTGATGATAGAACATATCCTGAACAATATTACTTATGAATATCATTAATCTTTTTTTCCAAACTGAACCACATGATCGTGAGAAATTTGACAGACAGATATACTATTATGCTAGGTTTTGATGAAAATTTAGATGTTTTTTGGACAAAGATTGTGCTCATAGTGCACTGAGAAATATTTAAAAAGTGCCATATACAATTTCGCTGTTGGTTTTGTACCCAGAAGACTACAAGGAACATGAATCACGTTGGAAGTCTCATGTCTTGCTGATATTGATGTGGTTTGAAATTTGTATTGTGATGTAATTTAAAATAGTATATCTGACTTATTTCCTCATAAGACAGTAAAGAAATTTTGGGCATTGATGCTCCTTCATGATGTTATGGTGTAGAATTAACCCTCTTACCTATTTTAAAGTTTTTCTGTGTTACATCATGTAAGTTGTTTAGAGTGTGTTGTCTATGTATATCAAAAGTTTGTTCATTCCAACAACCACTAAACAAAAAGCACTGTTAAGTTTTATGTGATAATAGGGTATAAATATAAAAGGTGGAGAATTTCTTGACTCTGCGGATGACAGCTTCTAAATAAAGATGGGCTTTGCTCCATGGAATTTAATAGAATATAAATATACACATGCCTGTTATTGTTTTAATTACTGGTGTATGAGAACTGGTGACAACTGGGACCTCAGGTCTCAGGTTAAAGTGCCATCATATTTTGGCTTTTTAATAAATGAATATGATATGCTTTCCATTTATTTTTGCATATTCAGTGAGAGGTGGTGCACTTTGCATTCAGTAGTTTACATTTGTTATTTATATATGTATATATATATATATAGGTCTTTAATATTTAAGTACTTATGTCTCATAGTTGTAGTGAGTATTTGAATCTTCCAGGTCTCTTGACTGCCATTTGTGCCTGACCAAAAGATGGCCATTTGTTTATTTATATTTATCATCAGTCTTTTAAACAGTACCTTTATTGGTAGTATGAAAATCTCCAAACACAAAACATTTTAATTTTTTTGAACTTAGATTATAAGCTCAGGGTGTGCCTTACAATTGAGTAATAGAATGAAATACACTAACATTAGTTGCATCAAGTCATTCATATTCCTAACAGAATGTACTGAAAGCGGGTTCAGTTCTTTTTCACACTGTTTCAGCTCATTATGTTAGATACTGACTCATCCACTCAAAAATTCCTGGTTGCATTTTGTTTCAGAATAGATTAGAACAGAGTAACTTTTGACACACTATGTCTGTATGGAAATAAAATCAAGCCAATGTTTGTATGGAGTTGCTTTCACCCTGTGTTTGTGTAAACATGTATGTGTATGTTTTTCGTATTAATTGTGTTATGTTTTAATTGAATTAAATGCCAAATTATTAATATCTCTGAAGGTCATGTTTCTTACCATGCTATGATGCATTGAGGAGAATTGGTATCTAATAGATCAGTAAAATATGTATCTGACACATTTTTGTGGGATAAGTTAGAAAGACACACAGTAGAGTAAGTCTTACATAATAAACTCCAAAATAGTTTGAGTCATATGGTTAGAGGGTTAATCAGCATTGCATAACATGTATTATATGTATAAAAGAGTTTATCGAATGCTACTTTATATTAAGAAAGCATAATTAGTAGAACATAAACCAAACAAGATGCCTTCTTGAGAGACAGGAATATCTGTTTGATTAACTATTCAATTTTATATTTTGTCTCAGGTTGTGAGTGGTGTTATGAATTTTTAAAAGCTGGTGGGTACTACTTAAATAAATTACATTTTATCAAGTTGGCTTTTGTGAGAATGCTAAAAGAAATTTAAAAAAATTTAAAATGATGTTGGGACCAAGTTGTGAGAAGTTTATTGATAAAAATGCTAATGCATTAAAGATATGTAGTTTTTTGTTACACTTGTTTTAATGTAAGAAGAGAAGAATGGTTCATACATAATACTTCGGTAAGAAATTGGAAAGTGTATAAATTTTATTTATTCCTAGATATCTGGTATTGCTGAATATGACATTGTGCAGTATGGGAATCAGTATTAAAGAGTGCCTGAAAGGGATAATATGATGTGAATGAAATCCACCTACTGAGAAATTAATATACATAGCTTCTTATCAAGGACCTTATATCAGAAGTGTTCTGTGTTACAGAGACTCCAAAGATGCAAGTGTTTTGATTTTAAGTTTGTGATGGAATAATGTTCAATTTATATATGATTGCACATATAAAATATAAATGTTCGTGGAGAAGGTAAATAATTTACACTAATTGAAAACTCAAAAGTTTTCAAAGTGTTTAAAAGTTATATGAACACTGAAGACAGCTTTTCATGTAATTTATATTGTGGTATGGCAAATTAAAAGGATGAAAAGATTTACCTAATATTTACTATTTGTGGTATATGTCTTTCCCAGTAATACATATTGCGATTCTAGGACATTCTTTCTTTGTAACATGATTCAACCATGATAATGAATTGGTGAGTTTGAAAGTTTAGTTTGATAAAAATACCTGTTTTTAGTAGTTTTCCATTATATTTGTGTAATGAGTAAAGTCCTGGTAAGTCAAAGTCAAAAGCACTTAGTTCTTGTTATATACTGTAGTTGTTGTCTTACAGAATTCATTAAGTAGTAAGGAAAAATAATTTATCCATGTTTACTGTTAAAAATAATTTTTGTTCCATTTGTCATGAGAAATTCATTTTTATGGGACTTGCATGAGTTCAGTTGGGATTACCTGCTCCAAATGGTACAATGAGTAGTTAATTGAGCTTGGGGGGAAGGGGTGAGAGGAATGTTAGTACTATTCTATATAGGTTCCTGAAATGTGTATGACAGAGTATAACTTAAAATTGTGCATCGTTTATTGAGGTCAGTTTTGTGTAAAATGGAAGGTAGTAATTAATGCCTGCACAAAATGTTTGCAGTTATTATGACTAATTAATCAGTTGGCCAAATGTGTGTAATTTGGTGCAAAGAGTAATAACAAATGTGTCCACAAATTTATATGTAACATCTTTTATGTGCTGAAAAGTCCCAACATGATAAGAGTGCAGTTTATGATATTACATTTTATGTTAGGTTGTGTTACATTTGATCTGTCTTTAGCCATCTCTTTATATAAGTATAAAATGAGTGATAATACAGGATGGACATTGTGAATATTATTTTCCTTATTAATGTTTTAGTCTTTCCCAGATGAATTATAGGACTGTAATTTGATCATATCATAAAGTGATGAGCAGATAAAATTCAGGAATGCTTACTGCCATTCACTTCAGATTCTCTCTGCTTCCTTTCTCCTATCCAGTAATGTAAACATCAAACTATACAACTCTATAATTTTACCTTAAACATGATATTCTGGACTTTGTCCATTGTCATAAGTTCTTTCAGATGCAACACTTTGGGAGCTGTATGTTTCCATCAGTGTAATGAATATGAACCTTTCTCCCCTGATAGCAGATTTTGAAAACAATTTTAAAAAACACCATGATTAGAGAATCTTATGGTGGACAAAGTCCAAAAAAATTATGTTTTTGACAACACTACATTATCAGAAACCATTTCATCTTTGCAGTAATTGCACTTATGGTTTTGTATGGGTCAGTGTCATACTACGGGATGAATATAAATTGGGAATATTTGAGATTACGATGCTTAATCTGAGAAGTAACAGGAGAGTGGAAGAAAAACTACATAATGAGCTTCGTAATTCATACTTTTTGCCAAATAATATGGTGATGAAATCATGAAAATGAGAATTTTTGTCAAATGCTGACGGAAGACCACTTGGGAGAGTTAGATGTAGATTGGAGGACTATTAAAATTTATCATAAACAGGATTTGAGGATGAATACCCGTCTTCAATTGATGTCAGAATTATTTTATATTTGTGTAGATTTTTCAGTAAATTTGATTTGTAAGGACTTCTGAATATTGCTTCGTTTCCTGAGTATTAAAATTTGCGATATTCTGTATGAAATTATATTGACAAGATTTTGATAAGCCTGTACTCCTGTGCTTTGTACCGCACCTGGTGGCAATATTTGGAACAAGGGCTTGTAACATCTGCTCCAGCCGGAGACAGGGAAAAAGGTGTTATCTCGTTGTGCTATTCGTTGCAGTTGATGTTTGTGTGAATAGTGTTGCGTATTACACCTTCAGTTTGTTTTATTCGTACATTTTACTTCTTTATTTAAAGCTAGAATCATACAAAATGCCTCGTATAATGATAAAAGGTGGAGTGTGGAGGAACACGGAGGTGAGTAGATATGCACACTCCGAGTTGTTTTGAGTTGAGGTTATGCATATTTTGATTGAATTGAATTTTTTTGCATTTTCTTATATGAAATGTCATTATATACACCAGGATGAGATCTTGAAGGCAGCAGTAATGAAATATGGGAAGAACCAATGGTCCCGTATTGCATCTCTGCTACATAGGAAATCAGCAAAGCAATGCAAAGCTCGTTGGTATGAGTGGTTGGATCCAAGTATCAAGAAAACAGAATGGAGTCGTGAAGAAGATGAAAAACTATTACATCTAGCCAAATTGATGCCAACCCAGTGGCGAACCATTGCACCTATTATTGGACGGACAGCAGCACAGTGTTTGGAGCGTTATGAATACCTGCTGTAAGTCTTTGTGAAAAGTAGAGTTGGTGTTTAGAATGTAGTAATTTGAGCTGAAGTTTAGACCATAACTTCCACAAGGTTGGTTCAGAAAGTTCCAGTTATGATAAGGGATTTGTCATCAGCTGATGATGCAAATTTGGGGTTGCACAACACTGCTGTCAGAATATTGCCCCAGGACAACTACACACTTTTTCCCAATGCCTATAGAGTTCTTAGAAGCACTGCTGGAAATTATTTTCCAGAATACCCTTCAGAGCATCCTGATGGAGGTAGCATGCATCTCTGAAGGGAAGGTGCTTCAGCAGAATGGATGAGATTAAAGATATAACAACAGAGATGCATGCTACCTCCATCAGGATGATTGAGGCAGTAAGTGCCTCTGAAATTTTGGTAAACATCTTCCAGACTATACAGTGTAACAGCCCAGAAGACAGTTATTTTCATACGTTTCGCTATGAGAACCTCAAATCTCACAAAAGTTACCATGTACCCATTTATCGACTATCACAGCTGTAACTTAGTTCCTTTTTTTGAAATTTTTACAGAGATCAGGCACAGAAAAAGGAGGATGGAGAAGATACTGCAGATGACCCACGCAAGTTGAAGCCAGGGGAAATTGACCCCAATCCAGAGACAAAACCTGCTCGTCCTGATCCTAAGGATATGGATGAAGATGGTAAAAAATAGCAATATTACACCACGTTTCTTCATTTCTCTGTGGTTTAATAGTCGGTTCTTGCAAGATCTTTGAGCTCCTGACAAACGAGAAGTCGATTCTGCTTCTGGTCCTCAGACAGGATGCGTCGCATGTGGAGTTCTTCCTTTAGAATCAGCTGACAGGTCCCATAGCCTATCCCAACAATGTCGCACAAGTCGTTGATGGTACGACGTCGCTCTTCGTGAATGGCCTGCCGAATCTTCGTAACATTTTCGGGCGTTGTGCTCGAAGATGGTCGTCCAGCACGCTCGTCATCATCGACAGAGGTTCGGCAATTTTTAAAACGTGAATGTCACACAAAAGTTTGTGCACGACCCATTGCGGACTCCCCAAATGCTTGCTTTAGGATTTCATAGGTTTCCGTAGCCGTTTTGGCGCGTCTTTGGCAAAATTTGATTTGTTCATGAAAATCCGCCATTCCGAAATCGCAGGAGGGTCGGTGTAATGCACTACCAAAACGCCCGTAACTAAGAAACAAATGCTAATTCGATGATGCCGGCTGGCACACTGATTCACTATGAATGTAGGCCGCACCCCCTAGCGGCAGAAGCTCGTACTACATCCGGTTCGCCCTCTATTGACACAGTCTTGAAACTTTCCGATCGCACCTCGTATATTATATAAACCAAAGACATTATCGACAATGGAAATGAGACAGCGAGCTACAAAATACTGCCGCTGGGAAATAATAATGTTTATTGTGTGGACAGTATATGCTTTCTTATATCCTAACCCATCTACCCCTTAATCCCTGTGCCTTTCACTTCAAACGGATCTGGAACGCAAAGCTTCGTCCCGACTACAGCACGTAAGAGCACAATTAATTTTTCCTGCAAAATATATGTTGAAAAAAAAATTACAAGCAGCTGACGAACTTAAATAACATATTCCAAACGGCTGTCCAAAGGAACTTACCTCCTCCACAGGAATGTAGCTGCTGGGGCCATGGATGGTCGGATGTGGGATGGGCATTCCTCTCTCCTGCCAACAGAAACGATAAGGTTTGTTACAAAACCGCTTAGGCCAATCTCCACATCACATTTCGATTAAAACATTTTAACGTCATGATCTATTTTGGACAAACCAATTATACAACATACGTAGCCAACGACGTTGAAAGTCAACCTGTAACAGGGGTTTATAAACCACTCCCTTTCCAAATGATATAGTCGTTGGATTTCGCCAGGTACCAAAGTCAACAACGACTTTTAATTCTATAGAAAGACACACTAACTAACTAACTTCATGGAGCGGATCAGACAGTAACAGAATCCACTTCACATCCCAAACCCAACTTACCACAGACCAATTTTAATATTATTTTCCTATCTACGCCTAGCTCATCCGAATTGTGTCTTTCCATCAGGAGTGTGTTAGATTCGTCTTTCACGTGTACCTTTAATAAAATGCACAAATAATGCGAACAAAATAATAAAACACTAAATTAAATACGAACTCGTTACGTTCCCATTGAAACAGATTCAATACCTGTTACTGACATTCTCACTTCACCATGCTCGTGTGTTGCTGACAGTAAAGAGAACTACTCAAATGGCACTGTCGAGTGTCATAAAATACCATCGAAGGCTTTCACACTGGTTTCTTCAGTAATGTATCCGATAAATTTAAATGAAAATGTTTATAAAGGAAAGCAGGCACCATAAGCACCTCGTATATGCATTTGTCGAAAAGAGGTTGTGTCAGATGTAAATAATTGCTTTTGTTACAGAACTGGAAATGTTGTCTGAAGCACGCGCCCGACTTGCCAATACTCAGGGAAAGAAAGCAAAGCGTAAAGCTAGGGAGAAGCAGCTAGAAGAAGCACGCAGGTTGGCAGCTCTGCAGAAACGGAGGGAGTTGCGAGCAGCTGGAATTGAGTTAGCACCTAGGAAGAAAAAGAAGCGTGGAGTAGACTATAATGCAGAAATACCATTCGAAAAACGCCCTCAACCAGGATTTCATGATACTAGCAAAGAGATACTTGATCCTTCAGCACCTGATTTTAGCCGACTCAGGCAGCAGCACCTTGATGGAGAACTGCGAACAGAGAAGGAAGAGGTTGGTTTCCAAACATTTTCTTGTTTTTTATCCATAGAGATGTTTTGATATTATTATTATTGCTTACTTTAATTTTTGTGGCTGTCAAAGTTAACTGTAATTAGATGCCACATAGGTTCTTTTCATTGCCTCTTTGTCTGATATCACATTTTTGTTTTATTTTTGTCATATGTGTGGATGAAATGAAAATACCTCTTGCTCTACAGTATTGAAGAAAGGAAGATAAAGTCAAACCAGTAACTTACGAACTTATGAGACGTATTTCCATGACTGTTGTACTAACATATTGTCAATTTTCTGATTGAGAAAAACAAGAAGTTGATGGAATATGCATTTTTCCTTCAATATCAATATGGGACTTGTTATAGTTACATAATTTATTATGTAAGGATTTGCCTTGAAGATCTGCTCTAGATAACTGTTTGTAATAATGTGCATTTGCTGTACTTGTTGTAGCGTGAGCGTCGTAAGGACAAGCTGAAACTGAAGCAGCGCAAGGAGAATGATATTCCCATGGCTATGCTGCAGAATCAAGAGCCGGCAAAGAAGCGCAGCAAGTTGGTGCTACCAGAACCTCAGATTTCAGACCAGGTAATTGTGGAGTCAGTAAATATACTAAGTATTGATTTCTGTCAATTTTTGTAAACAGTGTGTTTATCAAAACCTTAAATGTTCCCGAAATATGAGATGTTTAAGAATGAAAGAAAAGGAGAATTACTCTCTTTCTCCAAATACCATGTTCATGTTTGTAGCTTCCTAAACAGAAGACATGTGTCAGATGATAAAAATTATTAAAACTACTTTTTGTTTGTCTCTTTTTCTTTGGTTTTAGGTGCTGTGATGTGATAAGAAATAAATATTTCTTAGTTTTAAAGGGACTTGTCTGAGAGTTAAGCTCATTTTGGATGATTTGCCATACAGGAGCTGCAGCAGGTGGTGAAACTGGGACGTGCAAGTGAGGCAGCCAGAGAAGTTGCGACTGAGGGTGGACAGCAACCTTCAGATACACTCTTGGCTGATTATTCTCTGACCACTACTGGAGGCATTCGAACGCCTCGTACTCCAGCACCCACAACTGACAGGATCCTGCAGGAGGCCCAGAATATGATGGCTCTCACTCATGTAGACACACCCCTGAAAGGAGGATTGAACACACCTTTGCAAAACTCAGATTTTTCTGGCATGACTCCACAACGGGATATTGTCACCACACCAAATACTGTACTTGCAACTCCATTCAGAAGCCAGCGTAGTGATGGTTGGTATTTCACTGCATATTTTTTTCTTCACAAGTGTTATAACTTTTAAGAGACAGTTTTCAAAATTCCTCTACAAAGGACAGTCTTTGCTTACTAAAAGTGAAGAATCAATTGGTTAGTTTTGGAAATGTAACTTACAGGCCAAAATATTGCCGTCTTCTGGGTTTTTGCACCGTGTAGTCTGGTAGTCATCACCCTAATGATGGAGGCAGCATGGACATCGGAAATGGAATTTTAAGCATGTTTGCGACTGAAAGTTGTGAAAATTGCTTATTAATTCTGCCATGGGTGTCTGTTCTCATAAAAAATTCATGCATGCGCATGAAGGTCCCCTACACCCCCTCACCGGAGGACACCTCCCATGCTTCATTTGTTTGCGTGGGAAAAATTAAGGTCCAATACATTTTGAACAGACCTCATACATTTCTGGGCATAAAAGTGATTGGAGGAGAAATTATTAGGCTACTGTAGTTAGCATTGTTACCTTATTTCTTGTGTGTAGGATTTTGCATTATTCATAGCTGAAAGTAAATATTGCTGTAGCCAAACGATTTTTGTTAACTTTTCTCCAGCACCTCGTACTCCAGCAGGTGGAGGTTTCCATACACCAAGCCTAGATGGCAGCAGGGGAGCTGTCACACCTACTCCTATTCGTGACAAACTAAGCATTAATCCAGAGGAGGGACTAGATGTGGGAGACACCCCTCAAGCTATGCATAATTATCAACGCCAGGTAAATATGGTACAATTATGTAACATCAACATGACAACTGCAGAATTGGGAAGTGGGGTTGACATGATTTCTGCTACTAGCATAATGTCATGAAATCTTCAAAATATTTATGGGTTTGTGACTGCATTTTGCCCAGAACTTCTTGTTTTTGTATGCGTTAACAAGTAATTTCATGCATATTTGATACACAGTAAAGGTATAAAATATTTCATGTCAGAAGATTTTTGTTTTATTTTAAACAAAATCTTTTAATCAGTTAGTTGTATGCTAATGTTATTTTCCAGTTAAAAGAGCAGCTTCGTTCTGGGCTGAACTCTTTACCTGCCCCAAGGAATGATTATGAGATAGTTGTCCCAGATTCTGAGGATGAGACGATGGCACCAGTAGAAGCGGCGAACAATACAGAGGACCAAGCAGATGTGGACGCTAGATACCTTGCTGAATTGAAGGCCAAACGTAAGCAAACCCATTTAGTATTATAATTTTGTCATAATGAAGATGCATGTTAATTTCTTACATTAGAGTGTTATTAAGAGTATTTAATGAGGATACTGGGAACGACCCATTCTTCAAGTGCCTGAGCACTGCTGGTCCCAACTTTTCGTTGGCTTGATCTGTAGACGTTCGGTAGGACTCCTTGGACGAGGGATAGGCCCGTCGCAAGGCCTCTACCTGTACACAGGACAGCACAACACAGAAAAACGCGGACAAACATCCATGGCTTGAGTGGGATTCGAACCCATGGTCCCAGCGACCAAGCGGCACAAGGCCAACGCCTCAGACCACGCGGCCACTGCGGGTAACAAAAAATGGATTCCGGGGAAGTGTTACATAATGGCCATTGCAGCAATTTGATATGTTTATAATGTTACAGTTGATGTTATATCTTGTGTCAGGCGAATTGGAGATGCGAAGTCGTTCGCAGCCAGTTCAGCGGGACTTGCCTCGACCAGTAGAGGTCAACATGGCAGTATTGCGTCCACCACACACAGACCCCCCACTCACAGAACTGCAGAAGGTCAGTTATCAGTTCTAAAGAATTGGTATATTACATTTAGATTAGATCACTATAATACAAAATGACATTAATGCAAAAATGACATTCAGAAATACTGGTAAATATGAAAAATATAACATTACTTCTTCTTTTTCTCCCCCCCCCTCCCACCCGCAAATGTTCTCCCCAGTGGCCTCCATAAGTATTTTACTAGAGCGTTGAACCACTCTGTATATGAAGAGATATTACAGTTATTTGAAGTAGGCTATGCCTGATTTACTTTTCATCCTTCTTAATTTAATGCTATATAAAGTGAGAAAGCAAAATTAGACAAATAAGCCTCAGTCCAGAATCCATTAAATGTAATGTGATGCAGAGATAGTGACTAGGAATTAGGATTGGAGAAATAAGGTTGCAGTGACTGGATTGAATCTGGGAATTTACTGGAATGAAATAGAGGTTTGCAGATTTCTACATGATTGCAAGATCTCGGAATTATTCTTTCAGGCTGAAGAATTGATCAAAAAGGAAATGGTAACAATGCTTCATTATGATGCAGTCTATTCACCGCCCATTATACCAGCTGATACTAAGAAGCGTGGTCAAGTGACGAGCCAGGCGCAGCATTTAGCATACCTTGAGCAACATCCATATGAATCCTACAGCCAGGAACAGTTATCACAGGTTTGTAATGTCTTTCCTTGAGCAACATCCATATGAATCCTACGGCCAGGAACAGTTAGCACAGGTTTGTAATGTCTTCTCTGAAACCATACAACATAGTTACACTGTGAATTCTCCTTTGTTTTAGATATTTTTAATGGACATGGCATTTCGTGAGTTGGATCTGCTCTCTAATAATGTAATTCTCTGTTATTTCATTATAATGATACATCAATATACTGTACTTTCTTCATGTTCAAGCTACCCTGAAGATCATGATCTTGTTTGTTACACAACTGATATGCTGGGACTTGACTCTGGTAACTGGTTTGGCCATGAGTTATTGCAGGTTAGAGGTAGGAAAGTTAGTGTTACTAATGCTTCATAGAGGGCACTGTTATTTTTTTGCAGGCACATGCAGTGTTGCGGCAAGAGATGGAAGTGGTAAAGCAAGGCATGGGTCATGGAGACTTGTCCCTTGACTCTTACACCCAAGTGTGGGAGGAGTGTCTTGCACAGGTTCTTATCATTTAATAATTTTCATGTGATGTGGAACATTTAGAGCCATTCTGTTGGTATAATTTTGGCAGGACTGAACTGATTAATGTTGGATTATTTTCTTTTGGTTGGTAACCCAGCATTACATCAGCTTTAAGATATATTTTCAGTAATAGACTCAGAAACAGTAATTTATAGTTGGCAGAGGTAAATTACTTTTCCATTTAATATATGTATTTCCAACATAAATTAAAAAGATCAGTTTTTATTTTAAACTTCAGGGTACTTGATACAGGATGCTCTGGATAATGTTTGGACCTAAGAGAGAGGAAGTAATAGGAGGATGGAGGAAATGCTAGTACCTGGAAGATATAAGTTATCAGAGTGAGTGTGGTGGACAGTTATAGTCTGAGGTGACTAATATGTTATTTGTTTATTCATGAACATAGGTGCTGTTTCTGCCAAGTCAAAATCGGTACACACGTGCCAACCTGGCCAGCAAGAAGGATCGTCTTGAGTCACAAGAAAAGCGCTTGGAACAGAACAGAGGGCATATGACACGTGAGGCAAAGAGAGCTGCCAAGATGGAAAAGAAACTGAAAATCCTTACAGGAGGATACCAGGTTCTCTTTAATTTTAGATTTATAATGCTGTGGTAGGAGCCAGGATAGCATAATCAGTATGGGGATTTTTTACCCAGAAATGGCAAGGAATTGCTCATGGCAATTGAAATTACACTTTGTATCCTGTTAGTCAGAATAGGAATGGATAGAAAGGTTTCATACCATTAGTCAGCATAATGTTAAAATGAGTTCACATCACTATGATGATGGAGCAGCAAGCACCTCTGAAATGTTGATAAACTTCTGCCAGACTACATGGTGAAAGAACTCAGAAAACAATCTTAAAAAGTAATGATTCGTCCAAGTATTGGCATAAATATGTATTGATATATAACCAGTGAATGTATTATCTGGTTTCAGTCACGAGCACAGGCACTTATGAAGCAGCTGCATGACTTATATGAGCAGATAGAACAAGCACAGCTAGAACTATCAACATTCAACTTCCTTCAGCGCCAAGAAATGGCTGCGATACCCCGAAGACTTGAGGTATGTTGTGCACATCTTTCATAGGCACTCATATCAACATCCAGGTTTAATGCTCTACCATTATGTGGTGCTTGAGTGTTTATGTGTCACTCCCGCAGAACATTCTAGCAGATGCAGGTCAAAACTGTTTTTCTTGCTTGGTTAAATAAAACACTTGTAACTAATATGTGGAGTGCGCCGTTTCATGATAATTTGTATCTGTGCAACAAATTATCATATGTTTGGCGTTTGTATGACCCATGTGTTATGGCAAACCATATTCCTGTAAAAACAATATTTCCATCAGGCTATCATCTTAGCTTTGTTAAGTAGCATACTTTGTTGATATATGAGCCGGGATAGCTCAGTCAGTATAGTGACTAGCTACGGGCTGGACGGCCGGGGTTTGATCCCTGATGGGGGCAGAGGATTTTCCCTCTAGCCTCTGCGTCCAGACCGGCTCTGGGGCCCACCCAGCCTCCTCTACAATGGGTACCGGGGTCCTTTCCTGGGAGTAAAAGCATGGCTGGGGCATGATGCTGACCACTCACCCCTATGTAGTGCCGAGGTCAAGAAAGAGAGGAGCTATATCTCCACTCACCCCAAGCGCCTGTACGGCACGTAGCGGGACAAACTTTACTTTACTTATTCTTTGTTGATACATATTAAAATATCAGTGCTGCAATGGGATTTGTTGGGACAAACTTTACTTTACTTATTCTTTGCTGCAATGGGATTTGTTTTACATGTTTCTTAAATCTTTTTCTCTATCTATAACTGTGCACTCTGATAGCCATCTAAATCTGTTATAAACTAACTGAAAAAATTATAGTCCCTGGACCATACTGGAAATTTCAGTCTGCAGGCATTTAATAAAGGAGAAGTCACATAAAAAGATTCAGATGTGGGTCTGAATGTGTTGAAATAGGTGCAACATTTTATTGTGTTTTTTCTAGTCACTCACAGAGGATGTTACTAGGCAGACTGAACGAGAGAAGACGTTACAGGCCAAGTTCGCAGAGCTTCAAGAAACAGCAGAACAGTTACAGCACTGAATGCTCTCGCTAGGAAGCAGCAAGATTTGTATTTGAGGCACCTAACTGTGCTTCTCCCTTCCCAAACAGCATTATGTATGTGGCCACTGCAAAGTTTATCTTTGTACCTACCTACATTTTAAAGTAACCTTGGCCTAGCCAGTAACATGCCTTGAAATATTATAATTGGATGTGCTTGTTAATTTGCTTGTAAGTGTGTGTATTTCCAAGTTCTGATCTGTCACGCTTTATGCAGTGTTCTTCAATACAGGATTTTATATTATTCATTGTGTAATTTCTCAATATTACATTCCCTCCATACTTTTAATTCTTGAATCTATTGTCCTATAGAGAAACAATGAATGGGAATTTCACTGTATATGTGCAAGTAATAGAATTAAAAGGTAATTTTAATTAACTCATTCCTCCAATACCATTCACTCCATGACATTATGAACTACTTCTTTAAGTAATCTTTTCTGTAGGGGGACAAATTGTGATGTAAGTAAGGAAGCTGTTTGTGCCGTGATTTGGAGGGAGATGTTTTGAATTGTGTATTAATAATTTTTGCATGTTTGTCATGAGTGAAAATAAATAAAAATTCCATGATTTATGAAAAATAAATCACTAACACATATAGGAAAGCAGTGTAGTGTTATTTTGGAGAGGGTTATTGGTTGATTTACCAGTTATCTTAATTACTGTAATTGTAAGTTTAAGACAGTATCTCCTTTTTTCAGAAAATTATAAGGGTATTTTCTTTTTCAGTTACTCTCTTGTTGAACTTCTTAATATCACAATAGGGCAACTTTTCATAGATTGCCATTATAAGCTCTGGCTTATCTTTTTAAAATAATTTCCATGAACATGACTGTGAAGTATAGGATTTGAGGTTTTCACAGTGGTGAATACAAAGATGAAGATGGCTGTCTTCTGGGTTGTACTGCCATGTAGCCTTTTAGAAGTTTACCAACATTTTATAGGTCTACTATCTCCATCATCAGAGTGATGTGTATGCTGCATGCAGAGAATTTGTTCTGCTGGCCAGACTGTGACATCCCCCCCCCCCCCCCCCCCCTGGTTCCCTGGCATGGTGTAGTCATTCAGGTGTACCATATGCAAGATTATGAGGTGTCACAACCCAGAAGACCACAATCATTATGAATATAAAGGAAAATGGCAAATCCAGTAATTTTTTGACGTAAATACGTCTATACAGAAGGGTCATTTGGCAAAACAGCGTTAGGAAAATGTGTAAGATCCATACCAATAATGTGTAAATATGGACTGACAATGGTCAGCTTTTATATGAACCCCTGCATGCATAACAGTGCTTTACTCCTTTACCTAAGAAACTAATTGTTATGTCATCTGTTTATTCGGCATTGTAGTGTTACATATATTTTTTTATTGAAGTGTATGGATGACTTGAATGTGTACAAAAAGTTGAGAGAAATACACAACATAAACTACAATGAAATTTCATTATATTTTTCTTTGCATTTCCAAATATTTCCTGAAAGAATGTGATTTAAGGCAAAAAAAAATTGTTCTTGTGAGGATTGTGTTTTCATGTAGACATGTATTGTAATACCCAGCTGAAACCCACATATGTAATGTTATGATCTATCAATTGTAAATACTTCATTGTGTCATGTAGTTCACTATCATATGCATCATTTTCTGTGTTTGTAGAATAAATAAAAAACATTTAATTCAGAATAATTATATATTACATATTTTATGAAATGTAGAGCGTAAATCTGTTTTTTATTCCAAGCACTTTGTGTTATGTTCTTATGTACAAGAAATGTTGTTTTTCTTGCCTGATTATGTATATTTGCATCACCATGATGTTATCTACAACCTGTATTTAATATAGAATGTTTCTGGTCATGATATTTGTGAAGGATCAAAGTACAATTGTGCAAATAAAATGGTTGATACTGAGAAACAATTCATCTAACTGGATGACATGATTATGCATGCAGAGGATCATGAGTAATGGCATCCTCATTGGCCCACTTAATGACTTTGAGTATTACTGATGGGAGGAATCTAAAAAGTATGAGTTTTGAGTAGTGCCCAGTGGTATAACATACAGAAGCATGATTTGTTTGGGTGAATGATACAATAGACAGACATGAATGCTCCCATAAGGTGTTCTTTGCTTAAGTTAACATGTAAAGAACACCTAAAAGTATAATAGTCTAACAAAACATAACTCAGCCAATCATAAATGAAGGATCCTGCCCCAATCTCCCTCTCCAGTAACTCTAGTTTTCTGTTATCATAGGTATCAGTGGAAGTGGCAATTTCTATCCAAGATTGGGTAATGCCTATGCAATATAAATGTAAGTCTAAATGTTTCTGTTGATGGTGCATTACAGGGAGCTTGACTTATTTTGGACATCATCATTCATATTAGTTATTGGAGACTGCATCTGCCTCCATCATCAAGTGAAGGTAAGAGAGATGTGTGCATATTCGGGTGGGTCCCTTGAAAAGAGCAAACCCAGTGATAGGGGCTTTGTAGAACTTTTGACCTCACCCATGGGCAACACTAATGGAGTTGTTACTGGTAGTAGAATTTAAGAATAGTAGTTTCTGTTGGGTGTGTTGTAATATTGTGAACTTTAAGCAATGAATCACATTATAATGTAAGTTTACGTTTCCAGCATATCTATACTATAAAAATTTGTGATTCCTCGTTGTCTTCAATAAATTACGTCATCAACAATGTCAACAGATATTTGTTTACTCGGCATTGTTGTGGACCACAACAATGCCGATTACAACACAACAATGCCGAGTAAACAAATAACGCTTCACTACCAAGCCAGTCGCATTATCACTGCTCCAGAAGCAGCACGTTGCATTATTAAAAATTGACTGACAGTTGGCCTAAAACATCAGAAAAGTGAAAAAAGAAGTTACCAACTATTTGAAGTACCAAATCCAACAACTGCAACAAGGTAAAGTGATACTAATAATACTACTCATATACTCTATATATTACGATTACGAAAACTATTATGATCGATTTTAAGACGAAGATTTGCAAGGGTGGGGCTGGA